GTTCAGGTGTTGTGGGCGACATATGTTGAATGACATGTTGGGACAGCATAATGAAATGAGAAAGATGGTGTGTCTGTTTCAGGTGTTGTGGGAGATGATTGTTAAATGACATGTTGGGACAGCATAATGAAATGAGAATGATGGTGTGACTGTTTCAGGTGTTGTGGGAGATGATTGTTAAATGACATGTTGGGACAGCATAATGAAATGAGAATGATGGTGTGTCTGTTTCAGGTGTTGTGGGCGACATATGTTGAATGACATGTTGGGACAGCATAATGACATGAGAATGATGGTGTGTCTGTTTCAGGTGTTGAGGGTGAAATATGTTGAATGACATGTTGGGACATCATAATGACATAAGAATGATGGTGTGTCTGTTTCAGGTGTTGTGGGCGACATATGTTGAATGACATGTTGGGACAGCATAATGACATGAGAATGATGGTGTGTCTGTTTCAGGTGTTGAGGGTGAAATATGTTGAATGACATGTTGGGACATCATAATGACATAAGAATGATGGTGTGTCTGTTTCAGGTGTTGTGGGCGACATATGTTGAATGACATGTTGGGACAGCATAATGACATGAGAATGATGGTGTGTCTGTTTCAGGTGTTGTGGGCGAAATATGTTGAATGACATGTTGGGACATCATAATGACATAAGAATGATGGTGTGTCTGTTTCAGGTGTTGTGGGCGACATATGTTGAATGACATGTTGGGACAGCATAATGACATGAGAATGATGGTGTGTCTGTTCAGATGTTGTGGGAGATGATTGTTAAATGACATTTTGGGACAGCATAATGACATAAGAATGATGGTGTGTCTGTTTCAGGTGTTGTGGGCGACATATGTTGAATGACATGTTGGGACAGCATAATGACATGAGAATGATGGTGTGTCTGTTCAGGTGTTGTGGGAGATGATTGTTGAATGACATGTTGGGACAGCATAATGAAATGAGAAAGATGGTGTGTCTGTTTCAGGTGTTGTGGGAGATGATTGTTGAACGACATGTTGGGACAGCATAATGACATGAGAAAGATGGTGTGTCTGTTTCAGGTGTTGTGGGAGATGATTGTTAAATGACATGTTGGGACATCATAATGAAATGAGAATGATGGTGTGTCTATTCAGATGTTGTGGGAGATGATTGTTGAATGACATGTTGGGACAGCATAATGAAATGAGAAAGATGGTGTGTCTGTTTCAGGTGTTGTGGGAGATGATTGTTAAATGACATGTTGGGACATCATAATGAAATGAGAATGATGGTGTGTCTATTCAGATGTTGTGGGAGATGATTGTTGAATGACATGTTGGGACAGCATAATGAAATGAGAATGATGGTGTGTCTGTTTCAGGTGTTGTGGGAGATGATTGTTGAATGACATGTTGGGACAGCATAATGACATGAGAATGATGGTGTGTCTGTTCAGGTGTTGTGGGAGATGATTGTTAAATGACATGTTGGGACATCATAATGAAATGAGAAAGATGGTGTGTCTGTTTCAGGTGTTGTGGGCTACATATGTTGAATGACATGTTGGGACAGCAGAATGAAATGAGAATGATGGTGTGTCTGTTCAGGTGTTGTGGGAGATGATTGTTGAATGACATGTTGGGACAGCATAATGACATGAGAATGATGGTGTGTCTGTTTCAGGTGTTGTGGGAGATGATTGTTAAATGACATGTTGGGACAGCATAATGAAATGAGAATGATGGTGTGTCTGTTTCAGGTGTTGTGGGAGATGATTGTTAAATGACATGTTGGGACAGCATAATGACATGAGAAAGATGGTGTGTCTGTTTCAGGTGTTGTGGGCGACATATGTTGAATGACATGTTGGGACAGCATAATGAAATGAGAATGATGGTGTGTCTGTTCAGGTGTTGTGGGAGATGATTGTTGAATGACATGTTGGGACAGCATAATGACATGAGAATGATGGTGTGTCTGTTTCAGGTGTTGTGGGAGATGATTGTTAAATGACATGTTGGGACAGCATAATGAAATGAGAATGATGGTGTGTCTGTTTCAGGTGTTGTGGGAGATGATTGTTAAATGACATGTTGGGACAGCATAATGACATGAGAAAGATGGTGTGTCTGTTTCAGGTGTTGTGGGCGACATATGTTGAATGACATGTTGGGACAGCAGAATGAAATGAGAAAGATGGTGTGTCTGTTCAGGTGTTGTGGGCGACATATGTTGAATGACATGTTGGGACAGCATAATGAAATGAGAAAGATGGTGTGTCTGTTTCAGGTGTTGTGGGAGATGATTGTTAAATGACATGTTGGGACAGCATAATGAAATGAGAATGATGGTGTGTCTGTTTCAGGTGTTGTGGGCGAAATATGTTGAATGACATGTTGGGACAGCATAATGAAATGAGAATGATGGTGTGTCTGTTTCAGGTGTTGTGGGAGATGATTGTTGAATGACATGTTGGGACATCATAATGAAATAAGAATGATGGTGTGTCTGTTTCAGGTGTTGTGGGCGAAATATGTTGAATGACAAGTTGGGACAGCATAATGACATAAGATGATGGTGTGTCTGTTTCAGGTGTTGTGGGCGAAATATGTTGAATGACATGTTGGGACAGCATAATGACATGAGAATGATGGTGTGTATGTTCAGGTGTTGTGGGAGATGATTGTTGAATGACATGTTGGGACAGGATAATGAAATGAGAAAGATGGTGTGTCTGTTTCAGGTGTCGTGGGAGATGATTGTTGAATGACATGTTGGGACATCATAATGAAATGAGAAAGATGGTGTGTCTGTTTCAGGTGTTGTGGGAGATGATTGTTAAATGACATGTTGGGACATCATAATGAAATGAGAATGATGGTGTGTCTATTCAGATGTTGTGGGAGATGATTGTTGAATGACATGTTCGGACAGCATAATGAAATGAGAAAGATGGTGTGTCTGTTCAGGTGTTGTGGGAGATGATTGGTAAATGACATGTTGGGACATCATAATGAAATGAGAAAGATGGTGTGTCTGTTTCAGGTGTTGTGGGCGACATATGTTGAATGACATGTTGGGACAGCAGAATGAAATGAGAATGATGGTGTGTCTGTTCAGGTGTTGTGGGAGATGATTGTTGAATGACATGTTGGGACAGCATAATGACATGAGAATGATGGTGTGTCTGTTTCAGGTGTTGTGGGAGATGATTGTTAAATGACATGTTGGGACAGCATAATGAAATGAGAATGATGGTGTGTCTGTTTCAGGTGTTGTGGGAGATGATTGTTAAATGACATGTTGGGACAGCATAATGACATGAGAAAGATGGTGTGTCTGTTTCAGGTGTTGTGGGCAACATATGTTGAATGACATGTTGGGACAGCAGAATGAAATGAGAAAGATGGTGTGTCTGTTCAGGTGTTGTGGGCGACATATGTTGAATGACATGTTGGGACAGCATAATGACATGAGAATGATGGTGTGTCTGTTCAGGTGTTGTGGGAGATGATTGTTGAATGACATGTTGGGACAGCATAATGACATGAGAAAGATGGTGTGTCTGTTTCAGGTGTTGTGGGAGATGATTGTTGAATGACATGTTGGGACAGCATAATGACATGAGAATGATGGTGTGTCTGTTTCAGGTGTTGTGGGCGACATATGTTGAATGACATGTTGGGACATCATAATGAAATGAGAAAGATGGTGTGTCTGTTCAGGTGTTGTGGGAGACATATGTTGAATGACATGTTGGGACAGCATAATGAAATGAGAATGATGGTGTGTCTGTTCAGGTGTTGTGGGAGATGATTGTTGAATGACATGTTGGGACATCATAATGACATGAGAATGATGGTGTGTCTGTTTCAGGTGTTGTGGGCGACATATGTTGAATGACATGTTGGGACAGCATAATGAAATGAGAATGATGGTGTGTCTGTTTCAGGTGTTGTGGGAGATGATTGTTGAATGACATGTTGGGACAGCATAATGACATGAGAATGATGGTGTGTCTGTTTCAGGTGTTGTGGGAGATGATTGTTGAATGACATGTTGGGACAGCATAATGACATGAGAATGATGGTGTGTCTGTTTCAGGTGTTGTGGGCGACATATGTTGAATGACATGTTGGGACAGCATAATGAAATGAGAATCATGGTGGGTGTGTCTGTTCAGGTGTTGTGGGAGATGATTGTTGAATGACATGTTGGGACATCATAATGACATGAGAAAGATGGTGTGTCTGTTTCAGGTGTTGTGGGCGACATATGTTGAATGACATGTTGGGAAAGCATAATGACATGAGAAAGATGGTGTGTCTGTTCAGGTGTTGTGGGAGATGATTGTTGAATGACATGTTGGGACATCATAATGACATGAGAATGATGGTGTGTCTGTTTCAGGTGTTGTGGGCGACATATGTTGAATGACATGTTGGGACAGCATAATGAAATGAGAATCATGGTGTGTCTGTTCAGGTGTTGTGGGAGATGATTGTTGAATGACATGTTGGGACAGCATAATGACATGAGAATGATGGTGTGTCTGTTTCAGGTGTTGTGGGAGATGATTGTTGAATGACATGTTGGGACATCATAATGACATGAGAATGATGGTGTGTCTGTTTCAGGTGTTGTGGGCGACATATGTTGAATGACATGTTGGGACAGCATAATGAAATGAGAATCATGGTGTGTCTGTTCAGGTGTTGTGGGAGATGATTGTTGAATGACATGTTGGGACATCATAATGACATGAGAAAGATGGTGTGTCTGTTTCAGGTGTTGTGGGCGACATATGTTGAATGACATGTTGGGACAGCATAATGAAATGAGAAAGATGGTGTGTCTGTTTCAGGTGTTGTGGGCGACATATGTTGAATGACATGTTGGGACAGCATAATGACATGAGAAAGATGGTGTGTCTGTTCAGGTGTTGTGGGAGATGATTGTTGAATGACGTGTTGGGACAGCAGAATGACATGAGAAAGATGGTGTGTTTCAGGTGTCTGTATCTGCGAAGAGGACTTCACTGGTTTTGACTGTTCTATCAACAAGACATCGGTGCCAAGTGTGGGCTCCCCACAAGGCGATTGTGACAGTCAGATGTCTCTGTGTAACACAGTAACTATTGTTGGTGGACCATTTGTGCAGTCAGCAAACATTGTGTGCAGATTGGAGACAGTTGAGGTAAATAACACAACTGGAGCAGATGTCAAACTTGTACATATTCAGTCAAAGAGATTTCTGTTAACAGTGTTTGTCCATGCACAGTCTCTCCATCTGCAGTGAAACTTAAAAATCTCTCCCTCTTCTAATCAACTGAACATGTAAAAGTTATTGTTAAGGAACATTTTCCACATGTCCCTATCTAAAACAATGTAAACATTTCATTTTGAAAAAAATATAAATGGTGCTGCAGCAGCTGTTGTTAGTGAGAGCAAAATCAGCCTTCGCTCCATACCTCTTCTTCTCAGAAACCAATGGCTACTGCAGTATTGATTTCATATTTTCAGTGGATGTTCATAAAATACATCTTAACATTGAACTGAGGTTGTAATTTTGAAGAGTTTCAATTGAAGCACTTGCCATTTGCAATCAATTGAATACTATAAATCATAAAATGAATGAAAGCATTAAATTAATGCTACAATTGTGTGTTCCTTGCTAACCTTTAATAATAAAGTGACATATTTCTTCTGGACATATATAACTATATTTTCATGTTAAGTCACTGTACACAGCTGGGAACAAGGACATATATACAAAGCTCATATAAACAATGTAACTGAGTGCTAGATTTAGACAGTGCTCCTCACCAAGTTCCTGTAAGTTGGTTAACACAAGCGGATCATGCAGTTTTGCCAGTTGTATGGTGGCGTCTTTGTTGTTGGCGACCTGGTAATGACGTATAATTACAAGCAAACCACTGCTTATCTATGTGAACATGGTGTAGTAAAGCAAAAGCATATATACATTCAAACAATTGCACTAACAACACTTCAAACCACATTGGAAATTATGACTGTATCTGTTATCTATTGAATGATGGGAGGCATCTTTGATCTGGTGTTTTTTCTTGGAAACCTTGACAAATAATTTGTTACACTGAGCATCCAAACATAGTGGAAATTTCAAGTACACAAAATGGAGATTTGGTGAATACACAACATTACTTAACATTCATTATTCTCATTCTAACAATAATGGAACATCTACAACCTTTGTGAGCTGAAGTAAATAATATCAGTTGAATATGCCTTATTGTTAATTTCCTGCGATCAAAGGTAGATCACACATCAAGTGGGAGAAGTCAAGTTTGTGAGAAAAGGAAATACTTTTCCTCAGTTGAACTGCTATAAATACCCACTACTGTATCCTAAATTTCAAATGTTTGCTGTTTAATGAGAAGGGTGTGTTTCAAATCCAAAAGTAGTTATTTCCTGACTCTTTTTCTGCTGGGGATCATCTCTTGCATTAAGTAGTTAATAACGCATTAAGTTCATGATTTGTAAATGAGTGAGATATTGTTGGGAGTTAAGTCTGATGTTATGTGAGACATATGTATCATTTTGAGATGCAAACTGCCAATTCAGCAAACGTATGGAGGTCAGCTAACATAATCTTTACTCAGCGAAATTATTATTATTATTATTAGTAGTAGTAGTAGTAGTAGTAGTAGTAGTAATAATAGTAGTAATAGTAGTAGTGTGTCTTGATGATGGGTTATATTGCCTACGTACCTAATTATAAAGGTTCTTAGATGCTACAGTTTTTTAAGTATTGTTTGTGAATACTTTTTACTTACCTTTCGCAGCTGACTAGCAATGAGACACAGAGGGGCACAGGCCAGTACTCCTATGTAGCTGCTGTGTTTGTGTCCTATCAGATGGTCATCTGCAATCTGACAGATGCTGTCGGCAGCTACTATGTGACTATCAGCAACAACAACCTTACTTACAGTGCCTCAGTTTTCTTTCGTGTATATGACTCCCGCTGTTTCATCACCACTGACAACCAGTTTTCTCTCCTTGTAAGTATTACTTTACTTTTCATTTATCCCACCAAAGAAATATAAACAAACAAATATACATTTGATGTGATATTGTGGTGTCAAGTTCTACCTTGTTTGATGTGGAAGAACTGTGAAGATGCGGGGTTGTCTTCAGGAGCCCATGCTTGCCGTAAAAGGCAACTGTGCTTGTCGTAAGAGATGGATCGATGCTCAGGATGTCTATCACTGGATTGTCTGGTCAAGACTCGATTATTTCTAGACCTCCATCACATAGCTGGAATATTGCTGAGTGTGGTGTTAAACAACAAATAAACAAACAAACTATGATGTGGAAACTGCTTTCAATATCTTCATCCCAATCGGTTGATTAAAAATGAAGACGCATGCTCACATGTCTGTGCTTGTGTCTCAGCTAAATCCTAGTTGATTGCAACACCTACAACAGTGAGTAATTATTCCATACAGATTAGTATGAAGCTTCTGTTGTAGCCCAATTACTGCTTCATCGGCAAGTCATGCTACAAGCCCGGAGATGTGAGCAAAGACAACACACAGCTGGTGTGTGACACAGGCAGGAGCACACTATCCTGGACAGACCGATCAGGTACATATAGCTCTTACAACGATGTGTCAGCTGGATGTAGGAGGAAAGCCCAAAGTGCTGCAGACATTTATCACTTTGGTGAAACCCACGAGTCTGGGTATGGTGCTGACAAACCAAGAGACATGATTGGGGTCAACAGGGATTCAAACTGATGATCATAGATTACTGGCGTGCCAAAGGACCCAACTCTGCACAGCGAATTACAGGGCCTTAGATGACTGGGCCACCCATGCCCCCAATATGAACCAGACACTTTGTGACACTGTCAATTTGTAAAATCTCTGTCAAGTGCTAGAATCTATTGAACCTGCACTACACTAGATAATCTGTTCTTCAGCATTTGACTAGTCTTTATGTAGTTAAACTAGTCTTGGACAAACAAGGCAGCACAAGTGTCGTATGCTGGTGTTAATCATTAATTATGATCCCAAGGAATCCATCTGTTGTCTTATACAATATGCCATCTTCAGTTGATATGTTTCATTGACATATTTGGTGGAGTGATGGGGTGGTCCAGTTGTTTAAGCATTCGCTCGTCACTCTGAAGACCCATTTCTGGTGTCCCCTGCCATGATTTTGCTGGAATGTTGCTAAAAGCAGCGTAAAATCCAAGTCACTCACTTACATGTTTGGTCCCTTAGGGTACCTCAACCTTGGTGTACAACCCACACTGGCAAGTCATGTTGAGGGTAGTGAGTTTGTCTTCACCTGTGACTGGGGGGAGTATTCAAACAACGACACCAGCATCATCATCTACAGTCAGTGGATTCACAACAACAATGTCAGTGTGGAGACAGAGGTAGAAGGCAATGTCACCAGTACCAGGCTCAATCACACCTCTCTGGTTGGCCTAAGCTATGGAGATACTGTAAGTCAACGTGTATACATATAAACCATATTCCTTTTATGATGTTAGCGCTTTCAACTCATACCACGTACGAGTCTTATCAGGCCATAACTGAATAACGGACATGAAGTAGTAACATATAGTTACGTGACATCATAACATTTAGGAAACTATGATGTCACAATACAATATAAACAATATATATATGTATGTATATGTATGTATGTATATACTTTTCATATAGAGTTGTAAGCATGTTTTTGTCCTGCCCAAATGTACTTATGCCCCGGAAAAACTTCCAGGATTAAAGGCATAAAATTACAATGAAAATGTTCTGACCCTGTAGTGGAAAGTTCCAGTTTGACTCCAAATGAGAACGATGAGTTGCAAAATAACTCGAAATCCAGAAAAGTGTATGAAACATCAATACGGTACTTGACCATGAATACCCTGTACCCAACAAAATCTGAATTTTGTTTATTTTAAGACCCATGACGGATGAAGTTCTTTAAGAAACTATCATGTAATTTTGTATAGAAATGTGTACATGACACGTAGGGGGACAAACCGTGGAAGGCACAGCGCAAGCACGTATGCACTGCACGGTCTGTGGTAGGGGAAATGACAGAGCGTTAGAGGGTCCGTCTCATGATAATTTCAGTCGCAATCTGACTCGCTCATGCCATAGATGTCGTCATCGGACTGCCACTATTATAGGTTGGACTGTTGCTGGCCGTAGTCCATCTCGTGACCAATAACGTTGCTCTATCTCGTCAACGACTGTGGCCACACAACACCTCCATGTTTCTACTGTTACCCGACCAAGGGATTCCTTTATGAGTTGTTCAATGTCTCGTAATTTGAACATTGTGTTCGATCGTCCAATGTCACCCTTGACAATGCCCCATACCAACTCGATTGGATTCAGGTCGCAGTGATAAGGTGGCAGTCATAAGACAGCGTGACCCGGACCCTTGATGTAACTGTCAACTTTATACACGGGGTCAGGTTTCATAGTTTTGATGATTTCATAGAGCTGTGGTTTCGTCGCTCGAGAAGGAAAGGTAGCCAAGTAACCATGTCTCCTTTACGATTATTAGAGGTTGGAGTCTTGCTTTTTGGATTCTGCACACTATGATACGGTGCATTGTCCATGACAATGAGAGACTTGGTAGGCAAAGCAGGGACTAATTTATCTTTCACCCACTCCAGAAATACATTGCCGTTCATTTCTGTGTGGTAGTCCCTGTTGTCTTTGGCCTTGGCTCTAAAGACGAGGTCACAGTCTGGGAGAAAACCCTGACTGGCAGAACCAGCATGGAGAACTATGAGTCTTTCACCCTTTCCCATTGGTAACTTTCTACCAGACTCCTTACAGTCACCACTGGGTACCCACTGACTGCTGGCTGTGTGTGACGCATTTACCCATGTCTCATCTAAGAAGACGGGCTCATATCCTTCTTCACATTTCTGCTTGATGGTACGAAGGTAATGATTTCGGAGACGAACAATGTCAGACCGTTCACACAACACAGCCCTATTTTCTCCAGTTATCTCTTTGTATTTGTAACCAAATGTATGCAACAGCTGCCATAGTTTATACTTTGTAACACAAAAATCATGGTCAGTTTCAAGGTGTTTCTCCAAAATACTTAGGGACAGGTACTTATTTTCTGAGTGCAGTTTAACAATTTGACAATTTAACAATCTGACTTGATCCCTCTGAAAACTGTCTAATTTATCAACCTTGCGTGGTTTTGACATGTTCCCTACCACCTTGGCCTGACTATTCGTATCTCGTCAACTAACAACATTTTTAAGTTTCTGAGGGGACATACCAAGAGCTTTTGAAGCTTGTTTCAAGAATTTATTAATTGCATAAAAAGGCTTTGCTCTTTCTGCTTCACTTCTAAAGAAATCATACACATTCAACATCAACTGTTTAACATCTGCTGACCCTGTCATTGAATGAACACGGTCACTGTGTAGCACGTGCAGACCTTGCTTGCGCTGTGCCTTCCACGGTTTGTCCCCCTACGTGTCATGTACACATTTCTATACAAAATTACATGATAGTTTCTTAAAGAACTTCATCCGTCATGGGTCTTAAATTAAACAAAATTCAGATATTTTTGGGTACAGGGTATTCATGGTCAAGTACCGTATTGATGTTTCATACACTTTTCTGGATTTCGAGTTATTTTGCAATTCATCGTTCTCATTTGGTTGAATGACTGTAGTTGATTATTGTGAAAACATGTAATCATGACAGAAACAGATAGAATGCAGAGCCCAGAACGCATCTGAAATCGGAAGTACTGAAACATGATAATTCCATGATATGACCATGTTTGTGTCAAGTTGAACTGAAAGTCAGTCGTCCGTGAATACTACAGCTGCCAGGATAAAGTATTCTGAAGACTTAACAGAAAATGAGATGAAAATGTTTTGACCATGGTAACAGAGATATAAACAAATTTCTTTTTAAGAATTTGTTGTTTTTTCCAAAATAATAATGGATTTGTCAAATTAACATTGGAATTTTCACACACAGCGCAGTTGTTCCGATCATAACAAACATATTTCAATTATTCGTATTATAAAGTATTACACCCACACGCTCACGCACGCAAACACACATGGAACCAAATCTTGTTTACAGAGTATATTAAATATACTAATTTTTCATGAAGTGTATACTCATCCCTTATATATATATTATGTTGTTTTAGTAGAGATTGCCAATGATTAACACTGACCCTTGAGACCGCCTCCGCGGTCTGACCGGAGAGGGGAAGGTGCAGGGTTCAATCCCTGGCCACACCATACCAAAAGACATTAAAAGATGGTACTTGTTGTTACCCTGTCTGGCACTTGGCACTATACTGTGTCTGAGTGGGGTATGTATGTTAAACTGCGGCATGGTATCTCAGTGAGCTAGCACTGTTAAATATCGGCATCAGTCCAACTAGTACAAGCAGCCACACACACACACACAAAAGCATGTTGCTATATTAGTGCAATAATCTTGGACGCAACGTTAAAGCCCACCTCACCTCACCTCACCTCACCTCACCTCACCTCACCTCACCTCTATACTGACCCACAATGCACCCTGGTAAGCTCACGTGTTATGTAATTGTAGCTGGGCTATTTGTCTCTTCAAGCTAGACCTACACAAAATGGTTAATTCCCAGGCTGGGACTGGTTGTGCCATGTTGGCGATGTTTGAAACTTAAATTGTGACTTAAAAACTTTGTGCATGATATGGATTATGATGGATTACGTGTAGTGGCAAATTCAATGGATCTTATTGGGACTTGGAGAGACTTTTTAATTGTAATCACTGATACTTGCTCTTGTGATGTTTGATTAGACTGCCAGAATTAAATTGTGTTTATGTTGTTGTGTGATCTCTTTTTGTTATGAATAGAGAGTGTATGATGGATCCACTCGTTACACTAAATATGCATGTTAAGTACAATTACTGTCTTGAGTTGCCATACCTATGTAGGATTTGTTTCGTGTATTATGTACCTGGAGAGAGAGTTAATCTGAATCATTTTCCTTTGCCTTAAAAAAAAAGAAAAGAAATGCTTCTCTAAGGCAATGGCTTTTGAAGCTTTAGGGCGGATGGGCAGTGTTTTTTGTGTGTATGTGCGTGCGTGCGTGCGTGCGTGCGTGCGTGTGAAGCTTGTGTAACGGCCATAAAATTTCCGAGTCCCGTGATGGGATTCGAACCACGGACCTTCTGATCACAGGTCGGACACCTTGTCCACATGACCAAAGAGGTTAACCCCGTCAGCAAGCTGACAAGGTAAGTATGTCATCTGTGGGATGACTCCACGCCCTGCTACATACTCCCCCGTCAACAGAAGGCACGTCCCGGGCCGCATAGTAGGGTACTGAGGCTTATTTTGCTCAAATTTAATATGAACGTGCTCAGCCCCACGTTGGGCGCCAATGTAACGGCCATAAAATTTCCGAGTCCCGTGATGGGATTCAAACCACGGACCTTCTGATCACAGGTCGGACGCCTTGTCCACATGACCAAAGAGGTTAACCCTGTCAGCAAGCTGACAAGGTAAGGATGTCATCTGTGGGATGACTCCACGCCCTGCTACACTTGTATATAACCAAATTCCTGTTCTCCATGTAAATATGTGTTGTCTTTCCCCTACAGCTGCAGTGTGGCCTTGTAGCATGCCTCAGCACTGACTGTGCCCACTCCCGCAGTCCAGTCACAACTAGTCGGGAATTCAAATTTGAAGTAAAAGTGAGTTGAAGATATCATAGAGGCTTGGTAGCGATGGAACAAGACAACTTTGAGGAGTGTCAGACATTCGGGAATGGTCAATGTTACTTTCGTCTAGCTGTGTGAGGTTAATAGATCCAATGTTTGTGACATTACAAACAATTTGTTAGTGACAATCAAATGCTATGTTCAATGAAATAATACCAGTAATGGTTTGACTAGGCAGCACTTTCTGGGAGAAGTCCAATTCGCTGTTTTGGCTGTGTGTAGAGGGGGCAAGGGCCCTGAGCTGATGATGAGCCTAATCAGCCTGACTGTGCCAGGATCACCCAAACCCTCTTTGCTGTATTTTAATAATAATAATAATAATAATAATAATAATAATAATAATAATAATAATAATAATAATTCAGGAAAAACATGGCAAATATGCGGACCATGCTTTCGAAATGTCACGCTTGTGTCCGAAGTACCAAGTTGTTCGATTCCCCATTGTTCTCAGTGCCTTAGGTTTGGTACCTCCAAATCTGTTGACTGACATTGGGAGAGTACCCATTCGGTGTCTGGGCTGCGTGTACAGGGGGCAAGGGCCCTGAGCTGATGATGAGCCTAACCAGCCTGACTGTGCCAGGATCACCCAAACCCTCTTTGCTGAATTATTTTAATCTGATGATGATAATAATAATAATAATAATAATAATAATAATAATAATAATAATTGTTAATGGTACTAACCAAGAAACTGCAAGTAGTGATTGCTATTTATACATCTTTATAATCAGATCACCAGCAAGAAATCCTTGACTTTGGAAGAAGGTGAAGGTGCCAAGGTTGTACTTCTGGAATCCACTTTTCCTCCCTCCATCTTCTGTCCAGCCTCTGATGACAACACTAGCTGCTCCATCACCATCAATGCATACATCCCAGACCTAGACACCCAGACTGTGTCCTGTCCAGGGTCTGCGGTCACAGTGCCACAAGCAGTGGTCAGCTGGCCCAGTCGACCAGATGATGTCCAGGCCATGTGTGGCCTGGTGCTAAGTAATGACAACTGGCATACGGAACAGTCATTGTATGTAAGGGCAACCACAGACAATCAGATTGATGGTGATCAGTACCGAGACCTTCAGATCTCACTCAAGATGGCAGCCGAGATAAACACCTCCATAGCTCTGGAGACAGTGAAGGTGGGAAACATACTAGTATGAGTCACTGAGATTATGTGATGTTTAGCTGAAAGTATGGTCCCATCCAGGGCCAAATCCAGGATTTTGAAAACTGGGGTTGGGGGATCCTCTTGGGCCATTTGTAACTTCAGTGGTGTGTGTGGGGGAAGTCCACTCAAAACTAAAAAGGCGGGGGATACAGTTATAACAAGGAATTTCATCCATCCGTTCTTCCGATAGGAGAGATGCAGTGCAAAGTTTAATTTCAATATTTGGATTTTCTGAAAGAATACAGCTATTTTTCATTTTTGTACTTTGAATTCTTTTGCTAAAACATATATATGTGACTTGTAACTTAAAAACTACTGTGTGGATTCTTTTCAGTTTTAGGGAACAGTTTCCATACTATTTATGAGAAGAGCTGCAGCCGAAGTTTGATTTTGATATGTGGATTTTGCTGACAAAATATGAATTTTTACATGTTTTCAACTTAGAATGCGTTTTCTTCACTTCAACATTTGTATGACCTATAACTTGAGAACTACTACATGGATTATTTTCAAATGTAAGGAATACTTTCAATACTAATAGGAGAGGTGCAATAAAAAGTTTGATTTTGAAATGTGTATATTCTGAAAGAATATATGATTTTGTTTCATTTGTTTTCATTTGTGTGATGTATAACATAAAGTCTACTTTGTGGATTCTTTTCAAATTGGGGGTACAGTTTCTATACCAATAGGAGAGGTGCAGTGCAAAGTTTGATTTCGATAAGTGGATTTTCTGAGAAAATATTGCTTTTTACATGTCAAATGTACAGTATCCAGCACAGCTTGCTGATGATGTAATATTATTGCGCTTTTTAAGAGAAACCAGCTTTTATGTTCAGGCATCAATATATCTCCAATATCAAAATTGTTCTTCAGCTGGTGTTGGAGTTGAGGTTGAGCCTTGCTCACCTTTTGCCTTGTTAATTTTACTTTAACAACCAAATCAACATGTTATCATGGTAGGAATTCACTTACAAAATGTTATCATAGGTTAAAAAAAAGGGGGTGGTGGCCATGGCCTCCCACAAACCAGAAACACCTCCCATCGGACTTCTCTTTAATCCTTAGAAAAGGTTGTTGACATAAGCGCTTACCCTACAATTGACCTAGTCCACAATTAGCTGGGGTTTCTGTAGTATTGGTTCGTTTTATGAGTCATATTTAATGTTGTTGTTGTATTCATATTGCCCTGGTTGTATGTTATGAGCTTTGGGGCTTTGAGGAAAAGGGCTGCTTCAATTTTGCAAGTACCTTTTCTAAACACATCTATTTTCTTAAAGCTTTTACTTAGAGACTGGTAAAAGAAATTTTCTTATTTTATTAAGAACTTAAATTATTATTCTTAACCTTCATGTGGATGTTTGTCTCAATTATGACGTTAACATTTGTGAGAGGCATATAAATTAGTTTTTAGCTTTGTGAAACAGTTGGAAAAAAGGCAAAAACTTGAAACATTCATTTTTGAAGGAACTGATTTGGCAGACAATTTATTCAATATACTTCCTTACATTATTCATTGTTGCAATATAAGAACATTTGTTGGAATTTGGTCACTTTTTTACATTTTTGTTTATAATATTCAAATTATTAACAAAATGTTTTATAATGATGCTGACTGCAACTTATCACAAGTCACATATTATAACTGTTCAATGGCCCTATATTTGTAAAATCTACAATTAAGTGTAATACATTTTGCAACATCCAAAGAGTTTAACAGGAATGTTGTGAAACACATCCTGGTAGGTGATTACATATATGTCTGTTGTGTTTACAGTTGACCATCAAGGACCGTGATCGCAGCTCCATATGTAAAGCCGTCAATGTTCCACACATCACAACATTTGACAATGTGTAGGTAGTTTCTAAGCTATTTAATTGATTATAAGAATCATAATTAAACTTCAAAATGCAAGGGCAAAAATCTTGACTTAATATTTTAAGGGAAGAATTGCTGTAGAACTTGAAGGCAGGGTCAGTCTATATGCCAGCAAGTGGTGATGAGTGTACCACTCATAACACTGTGCTCACTCTTTTGGGTATGTGTGTTGTATCCAGAAATATGTAGCAACTTCTGTCAACAGAACTTTGTGATACAGAGGAAATGAAGCCATTAGTCAGTCACCTACCCCATGCCACCTCACACATTGGACAATACTCACATGGACAACATTTGACAAGATATCTTCATTCTAAGTGCACCCATTCTTAATGAACAAAGACAGACAAAACATGCATTGCAAATACCATCAGAATTATACCATGGTTTGGGATCATGATAACAGGATTCAACATTTCGCCATTCATCAGTATACTATTGGCAAAATACCAATCCTTCAGTAGCATACAGCAAGAAATACTCCAATCACATGACTATACCACTTATACATGTTATACTTTCAGACTGTTTATAACATGATTTCTTTACATTTGAAATTATGAGGTAAACAATTACTGATTGCAACATCTCTCCATTCTTGGTCAGTATCTGCATAAATTGACAAAATATCCTCTTTCATAAGAGGTCGAATCTGATTGGTCAGTAGGAGGGACATAGAAGGGACATAACTCACAATAGCCACTGCTGGTGCTACGATCAAGACCAGTTATTCAAGCAAAGTTTGACAAGGTGGAAACTGGACTTTTACAGTCACATAACACCCTTGACTCAGGAAGATGCTTTGTTGACAACTGAGATGCATGTCCAGATCCCATGTATCCCATCTGAGGGTAATGAGTGGAGTGCCCACTCCCTCCTGTTTAGACTCCCTCATGAAAGAGTCCACTGTCTGTGTTTCAGCTACTACAATCTGCTTCAGTTTGGAGAGTTTGTCCTGTACAGACACAAGACACTTCCAATAGCTGTAAGTTGTGGAATATATGTGTGTGTGTATCACAATCAACAAAACTAGCACCCCTGGTCAGAGGGTGGATCTAGAGTGGGGAAGCTGATTAAAGGACATTATAAAAATAACGCTAGAATTTTCATGTATAGTCCATGTATAGCAGTTTATTTATGTTCACAGCTAACAATCAGCATTACTTATTGTCAATATTTACTACTTATAACAAGAAGTATGTATGCTTTCCTCTGACAATTATGTGAAGAAAGGGTCGCTCATAGTATGGGGTGATGTGAAATTGGGTTTAATGTCGTGTCCAAGACTATTGCACTTATATCTGTGCTTCCTATGTGCAAACAATGATGCATGATATTTTCTTACTGTATGAGGTTGGTGTGTTTGTAGGTGAATATCTTCACAACTCCATGCAGAGGTCAAGTTTCATGTGTCTGTGGGACAGCAGTGCTGGTAGATGACGATGTTTTCATACTAGAAAGATGTGGTAACCATACTGACATGCCAGTCAGAACTGAGATGCTACTCAATGGTGACCTTGCCAAGGGGACCTCACTCCTTGAGGTCAATGATGGAAAGGAGTATGTTGTAAGTAAACAATGGACATGGGAGGATAACTGGCTCTGTGGAAATGTCAAGCAATAAATCATTACACAAAACTTATTGGACAACAGATTCATCATTGAATATATTCGTATGACTGATCACAAGTATTTTTCATTATTACAGTGACAAGTCATTGACTTATGACATGATCAAGTATATATGTATGTGGCTAAAACGAGTGAAGAAAGACAATCTCTTGAAGTTCAAGAGGAAATCTAACCATGAGCAATCTGTAACAAAGAAGATTTGTATCCCTATGTTTGTACTTGTAGTAGGGCGTGGAGTCATCCCACAGATGACATCCTTACCTTGTCAGCTTGCTGGCGAGGTTAACCTTTTTGGTCATGTGGACAAGTCGTCCGACCTCAGATCAGAAGGTCCGTGGTTCGATTCTCATCACGGGACTCGGAAATTTTATGGCTGCTACATTGGCGCCCAACATGGGGCTGAGCACCTTCATATTAAATTTGAGCAAAATAAGCCTCAGTACCCTACTAAGCGGCCCGGGACGTGCCTTCTGTTGACGGGGGAGTATGTAGCAGGGCGTGGAGTCATCCCACAGATGACATCCTTACCTTGTCAGCTTGTTGGCGGGGTTAACCTCTTTGGTCATGTGGACAAGGTGTCCGACCTCAGATCAGGTCCGTGGTTTGAATCCCATCACGGGACTCGGAAATTTTATGGCCACTACATACTCAATAAAATCAGATCTTAGTGCTCACTACCGCTACACAAGGATCTGAGGACATCCCATTACAGGTCACATCAGAACAATCTTTTGCGAACTTTGATGGACCAATGAAATGACTAACAAGAAGTGGATGCTTGCCAGTCAGAAAGCAGCTTTCTCAAGCTTTATGACGCTAGTTTCTAACAGATTACTTCCATTCCAGACTATGTTTTGAAAAACATTTTGACAAAGTTCTCATTTCAGAATTGAAAACTGAACATGAGAAAATTTGCGAAAGACTAATAGATGGCCGAGATTGTATGGCAGTACTTCCTACGAGCTATAGAAAGTCATTGTTGTTTCAAATGATTATCCAGTTGAAAGGAGGGATAGACAATAATTTTGATGGAATCAGTCGTTCAACTCTATAACTGTCATTTGAAACACCTGTGTTAAAGGTTGCATGTTTAGAAAACACATTCTGACTGTCACTTTCCTGATCTGGTAAGCGACGCTTTGATTGATTGGATGAAAGGTCATTCTACTGAGACCCATAATGGGATATCCTCAGATCTTTTTGTAGGGGTAGCGAGCACGAAGTTCTGATTTTAATGAGATTGACCCAAGATGAAAGAGTTGTTCCTTGATGAAAGTGTTGTGTCCCCAGAAGAAAAGTGTAGAATCAGTATTGTTTTCATAGATAAAAGTGTTGTTTTCCCTCAATGAAAGAGTTGACCAAAGATTAAAGCTTTGTATTTTCTTGATCATAGTGTTGCTTATGTAGATAAAGTGTTATTTCCCTAGATGAAAGTGTTGTTTTCCTTCAATAAAGAGTTGTTTTCTCGAGCTGAAAGAGTAGCATTCCTGGATGAAAGTTCTGCTTTTCCTTAGTGAAAGTCGTGTTATCTTGTGATGAAATTCTGGGTTTTTTTGTACATGAAAGTATTATTGACCTAAATGACAGTATGAAAGTATTGTTTTCTGTACATGAAATTGTTATATTCCCCTGATGAAGGTGTTGTTTTCCCCAGATGAAGGTGTTGTTTTGTTGTTTTCCCCTGATGGTGTTGTTTTCCCCAGATGGTGGTGTTTTGCTTCAATGAAAGTGCATTTTTTCTCTAGATAAAAGTGTTATGTGTTTGGATGACATTGTTGTGTTTCAGGTCCTGCTTCCTACAGGCACCCGTGTAAGCATCACCCTTGGAGACCGACCTGAGGACAAGTACCTCAGTGTGTGGATCCAACCCTCAGCTGCTGATGTACAGGAAACAGAAGGTTGGTCAAACCAGGAGAGTTTCCAGAGCTGAACATGTACATCCTAGTTTTGTGAGGCTAAAAAAAATAATAGTCTTGTTTTTCTGGCACCGCTCGCATCTTCATAAAGTTTGCCTCACGTTTCGTTTTTATATCCATTTCAAAACAAAAAAATCCTTAAATATTCTAGGTCCAATGTTAGTCAAATACTGTATTCCAGTATTTTTACTCATCAAGGAATATTTTCCAAAATTGATTGAACGCAGCTGTTTATTTGGTTACATAATAGTTTGAACAAACCAATCCACCCCCCTCCCGCCCCCTTCAAAACAAACAAACACACAAAAAAAGCACTGCCCATCCACACAAAGCCATTGCCTGGGAACCAATTCTTTTTATATTTTTTAGCCTAAAGGTTATGTTAAATATAATGTTTGTATTTATTGTGCACTAACAGTAGGTATATTTTCTCATAGGTTTGTGTGGTACTTTTGATGGTGACAAAGACAACGATTTGACCTCCAGTGATGGGGATGTGAAGAGCTACATGAAGTATCCCAATGACTTCACTCTCACCTGGAGGTATGTTTTAGTGTCAATATAAGAGGGCAGTTTTAGCTAACCTGAATGAAAGTTAGCTTGCTTATGTCATAACTTGCTTGTCCAGTGTCCAGCATCATCATTGGCAACAACAGCATCTGTAAACATCATCTCCTTAGCAACCACTGGACCAAAAAGCTGAAACTTCACATGCCCTGTTCCCACAAATATGACACCTGAGTTTGTGAATTTGTCCGAATGGTGTAACTCAGACTGTCAAATTGAAAAGTCTATTTACAGATATTCTAAGGTGTTTAGATCAGTTGAGTGTATTAAGTAGGGGTGACTATTGGTCTGGAAATCACTATTGCGATAACTATTGATATTGAAAGAAAATATAGGTTTGAGAATAAACTGCAGTCGAAATTGGTAGATTCAATTCATTACTCCAGAGTCTCTACAGGAATAGTAATATAAATCTTGAGTCTTGGTACAATTATTTTAAAGATCTTCTACATAATGTTGGTTGAAGATGATCAGTATGTATGTATTGATATAAATTTATATAAGAATAACCATAGTTTTTATGATCGGATAAATTCAGATGTTACTTTGAGCACACACAAGAAAGAAGTGACATTTTCTTTGCTCTGTGCATACGCTAAGGCATTTAGCACAAGAGGCAGTATTCATAACAACTGGTTGTCTGATGGTTAAGTGGACGTCTGGTGAAAATCTAAAGATTTTTTAGTGGGATATTAACCAAATTGCAAGAATATTGGCTGTGATGTAATTATGATGCATTGGCTTTGAGGTAGTATTATATGCAATGATAACTTTTGTTTGATTTTTTTACGGTTACTGTGACAAGTCACTTTCTGTTAATCTAAATGATACTACAGATTTCGTTTTTACAAATGGAGGAGAATTATCATAATTAGAGTGTTAGAATGTAAATATTTCTTATTCTGTTGTGTTCAACAGAGTGCCTGCTGAGGAGTCCCTGTATAACGGTGTGTGTGAGTCCCCTCTCCCCCTGCCGCCCAGCAGCACCCAGTGTGTGTGTGGGAATATCCCTAACTGTAACCAGGAGGACTATGTGTTCACTTGTGTGGAAGAGTTTACTGCACTGAAAAAAGGTAACCGATTAATTAATACTCATGCTCTATCAACACATCCGTCGATTCAATGAATATATACAGTCAACTTTGTCCCAGGAAACATCAGATATGTGTCAGTTACCGTGGACCTGATGAAGAGTCTGAGAGATGATAAACATACATTTCATAAATAAGATATCAAGATAATAAGTCTAAAAATTAAGTTTTGTATTTTAATGTACCTACTTTACATATTAGCATCTATTATTTGTTCTTCATGCATTTCATTGATTTAAATGTCTATCACATGTTCATGTCTAGTGTATGTACCTTAGCTGATTTATGTATCCTTGTCACATGTTGTTTGTCTTAATATTATATTGTCAAGATCTGTGATGTATATCAAATTCCTGAAAATGTAATAAAATACTATTATTATTATTATTATTCTTAGAGTCAACATTATTTCATTGTATATAACAGTGTTAACTGGAAATAGTCTCAGTGTTGGCTTTTCATAATCCTGGGTGCCTTTGTACAAAGCAATCTTAGTGCTAAGGTGACCGCAACCTTAACATAGACTTACGACAGTCGTAGCGCTGAGGTTGTTCTGTACAAGGGTACCCAGATCAGCATGTGCATCCTACGGACTGACAATGGTTTTGTCTCCACTTGTTTGTGTGAATACTGTAAAACTCTCTGTATGCTGAAAAAAAGTTGGCACTTGTACCAGGTAAGGACATCACGGCCCAACTGGTGAACAAGACAGCTGACACTAAGCCAGCCATTTGCCGAGGAGAAAATGTTGTCAGCTTCCAGTACAACTCCACTGCCACTACCAAGGTAGACCTCCATGCATTGAATTTGTTTACTTCCATATGTAATTTTAAGTTCACTGACCGAATACATTTAAGTCTTACGAAGAGTTGGTTCTCAGGCAATGATTTTTGAAAATATAGGGCAGGTGGGCAGTGTTTATTTTGGTGTTGTTCTTGGGTTTGTTTTTTCCGGGGGGGGGGGGGGGCTTGTTCAAACTAGTATGTAACCAAATAAACAGTTGTGTATCATCAACCTGGGAAAGGGTCTCCCTACATAAACAAGCATTCAAACTACTATTGCTGCCATGACCATAAAACAAGATGCACATGGAAAGGGACGTAACTGCATGCTTTATTGGATTGCATTGTTTTTAAGTATTAGGATTTTTATGAAAAATAATTAAAATTGGAAATAAAATAGAAACTTGCGGCAGACTTAATGATGATGCAGGGGTGCCAGGGAACCAAGACTATTATTTTTTTTAGCCTATATTTAGAAGTTTGTCAGTATCAAGCGTTAGTCATTTGTCTTTTGGGATGGTTTTACTAAGCACTATGAATGTCATTCCCACAGATACTGATGTGGCCAACTGCCAGTGGGTGGAAACCGGAGAAAGCACGGAAACATTGTGAGACATACATTCGTGGTAGGACGTCCGCACAACTGTGTCTCAGTACTGTTGTTACTCTACAGTTTGAGCTTGTCATTGAAGGGTGTGTTGATAGCATTCAGGTGAGAATGAGACTATACTATATCACACTTGATATACAGGGTACTTCTAGTCATATTGTATATCTGATAGTTTTCCTTTTCTGACCATATGAAATACAGTTTCTATATTCCTTGACTATTAGATGATGTGACTCTAATTTTCCAGAGTACGTACCCATCACAAGATTACAGGAATTATTGTTGGGGATTTGGCAAAACACAAACTTGTCATTTGACCTTGCATGTATTTAACAACATTTATGTTGTTCAAATATTTATAAATATTTTGATTTGCTGAAAATATTTCTTTTTAAAATTGTTTTGACAAACATAGTGACAAATGTGAATAGCCTATTGACATAGGCCCAATATTATTGTACCTCTTTGGCCAAGTGGACCACATGAGCTTAGTTATGTCATAGTGAGTTGTCCATAACATCTTAAGGTTTTAAAATAGATTGAAATGTCATGGTCTTTTTTCTCCCCATGTCAGTGTTGAAATTGTTGAAGGTAAAACATTGGCATTTGTATACTTTTCTGAAGTGAAACTACCAATACAGCTGACCTCGGCATACTTGTTCCCACCAACAGTGAAACCTGAATTTGTTGAAGAGGTTCTATAAATTGAATACTGAACTTTAATTTTTTCACCTGACCATGTTATCAAGATCTAGATTAATATCTGACCACTGATTCGAAAATAGATTTTTTTGCCTATTTCTCGGAACCTGTTTTTTCAGTTGCGGAAAGTAAAGAAAATATATTAAATCTACTCTTGTTTTAACATTTTATCTGAAAAAGTCCTTGCCCAACAATATAATGTAAGGAACATTCGATTATATAAGAAGTATTTGATTTAATATGTAGCTTTTGTGAAATAATATAATTCTATTTTCAAATCTTATCAAAAGGCATAATTGAGAATCAGATTTGTAACAATGATAGAAGGAAATGGCAAATATTTTATACAATATTATTCCTTACATTCATCATTGTTCAAAAATAAGAAACTTTGTTAAAATTTTGTTTGTTACAACAAATGACTTTCATTGTTGACATTGTACTTTTGAACTGTGTAAGAAGGTAAACTGAAGTACACAATATATTTTTGTATACACAAGTTGTCTACACTGACATTGCAACTTACTGGGCTCTTGTATGCTTGTTTTGTCTACACTGACATTGCAACTTACTGTGCTCTTGTATGCTTGTTATACCCCCGTTTACAAAGTAAATCGGGGATATATAGCGTTCCGTCTGTCCGTCCTTCCGTCCAAGCTTTTGTACAGCCCATAACTTTTTAACCATGCACCCTAGCTTCACCAAACTTGCTACACACATTTACCACAATGAGTACTTGTGCCTTTTGCTAGTTTGAAGATTCTGAACCCTTACCACAATGAGAACTTGTGCCTTTTGCTAGTTTGAAGATTCTGAACTTTTTAATTTTTGCCGTTTCCATGGAAACATTAAGAAACTTAAACTTTTAGGGTGGGTGTTTTGTACGGCCTATATCTTTTTAACTATGCACCCTAGCTTCACCAAACTTTCTACACACATTAACCACAATGAGTACTTGTGCCTTTTGCTAGTTTGAAGATTCTGAACTTTTTAATTTTTGCCTTTTCCATGAAAACATTAGAAACTCAAACTTTTAGGGTGGGTGTTTTGTACAGCCCATAACTGTTTAACCATGCACCCTAGCTTCACCAAACGTGCTACAAACATTTACCACAATGTGTCTTCTGCTAGTTTGAAGATTCTGAATTTTTTAATTTTTGCCGTTTCCATGGACACATTAAGAAACAAACTTTTAGGGTGTGTGTTTTGTACAGCCCATATCTTTTTAACTATGCATCCTAGCTTCATCAAGCTTGCTACACACATTTACAACAATGAGTACTTGTGCCTTTTGCTAGTTTGAAGATTCTGATTTTTTTTATTTTTGCCGTTTCCATGGAATCATGGTGAAACATAAATTTTGGGTAGAGTTTTTGTACGATCCATGTTTACAATATTATGTATCCTAATTTCAGGAAAACTTGCTGCATTAACCACTATGATTGTTTTTTATCTTTTATAAGATTCTGAAAGTTTTCTCTTTTGCTGTTTTCATGGAAACATGATGGAATTTAGAAATGTTGATGACTGGTTTTGTATAGCTAATATATTTTCCAAAATTGTTTCCACACATGTAGATCATCATAAGTATCTGTGCATTGTGTCAGTTTGAATTTATGAATTCTTTACCATATCTGTTAAGGCTAGATGGAAATTATTAATTTATTGATTTTCTTGTATGATATTGTTCCATTTTTTAAGTCTTAAATATCCAATTATGTGTTTTTATATCAACAATTGTTGGTCCTTTTGATAATTCTTCTTATGTAACTCCTCAATCAAATGTTTATTCAAAGGTGTTCATGGTGATCTACTTCCTCGTAATGAACACTGGTAATATGGGAGATTTGGCTGGGGGGGGGGGTCAATTGTCACTAGAACTCAATCTTAGTTTTTAAAACATTGAAGTTAAAACTATTTACTATTTGTTGTTGACCAGCGGGATAACGGGGGTATGTGAGCTTTGCTCACTTCTTTCTTGTTTTGTCTACACTGACATTGCAACTTACTGTGCTCTTGTATGCTTGTTTTGTCTACACTGACATTGCAACTTACTGTGCTCTTGTATGCTTGTTTTGTCTACACTGACATTGCAACTTACTGTGCTCTTGTATGCTTGTTTTGTCTACACTGACATTGCAACTTACTGTGCTCTTGTATGCTTGTTTTGTCTACACTGACATTGCAACTTACTGTGCTCTTGTATGCTTGTTTTGTCTACACTGACATTGCAACTTACTGTGCTCTTGTATGCTTGTTTTGTCTACACTGACATTGCAACTTACTGTGCTCTTGTATGCTTGTTTTGTCTACACTGACATTGCAACTTACTGTGCTCTTGTATGCTTGTTTTGTCTACACTGACATTGCAACTTACTGTCCTCTGTATGCTTGTTTTGTCTACTCTAACATTGCAACTTACTGTGCTCTTGTATGCTTGTTTCACAGCTGTTTGATGGTCCAGTGTTCGAGAAGCTGTTCCTGGACAGCATAGTGTTTGACTGCCTGTTTGAGATACAGTATAACAGGCGGTACTGGCAAGTGGTCAGTGGTATCTATGTCATCAACAGAGAGATCATCACCTCAATCTGTCCCAGCCACTGTAACAACCACGGCTCATGTGTCAACGGTCAGTGATTGCTTTACACAAGAAGCCAGGAGCATGTCTTCATAGGCTAACATATAAACTGTGTACCTAACCATATAATATCTTATATAAACTCAAACATACACATGTAGTTTATGTAGACCTGTTGATATTCATTCAAAAATAAACATGCTAAAAACGAGTGGTTGATATTCATTCAAACATAAACATGCAGTATAACTAGACCTGTTGGTTTTCACTCAAACATAAACATGCAGTATAATGAGAGGTTGTTGGTGTGTACACTATGATGTCTTGTAGTGGTTGTGAATGTGTATAACATATGTAGCAGGAGCGTAGTACATTGTATTTGTAAAGTACTGGTGATTAAGTTATTGCAATTAAATGACAAATGTAAATATAAATTCTTGCATATTGTATGCTTGAACAGACATTGTAACCTTGTGTGGGTTGCAGTGAGGTTATAGATGCAGGTGGGTGCAGTGAGGTTATAGATGCAGATGGTGCAGTGAGGTTAAAGATGCAGATGGCTGAAGTGAGGTTATAGATGCAGATGGTGCAGTGAGGTTATAGACGCAGATGGCTGAAGTGAGGTTATAGATGCAGATGGGTGCAGTGATGTTATAGATGCAGATGGGTGCAGTGAGGTTATAGATGCAGATGGGTGCAGTGAGATTATAGATGCAGGTGGGTGCAGTGAGGTTATAGACGCAGATGGCTGAAGTGAGGTTATAGATGCAGATGGGTGCAGTGAGGTTATAGATGCAGATGGGTGCAGTGAGATTATAGATGCAGGTGGGTGCAGTGAGGTTATAGATGCAGATGGCTGAAGTGAGGTTATAGATGCAGATCGGTGCAGTGAGGTTATAGATGCAGATGGGTGCAGTGAGGTTAGAGACAATGGTGGGTGCAGTGAGGTTATAGATGCAGGTGGGTGCAGTGAGGTTATAGATGCAGATGGCTGAAGTGAGGTTATAGATGCAGATCGGTGCAGTGAGGTTATAGATGCAGATGGGTGCAGTGAGGTTAGAGACAATGGTGGGTGCAGTGAGGTTATAGATGCAGGTTGGTGCAGTGAGGTTATAGATGCAGGTGGGTGCAGTGAGGTTATAGATGCAGGTGGGTGCAGTGAGGTTATAGATGCAGATGGTGCAGTGAGGTTAAAGATGCAGATGGCTGAAGTGAGGTTATAGATGCAGATGGTGCAGTGAGGTTATAGACGCAGATGGCTGAAGTGAGGTTATAGATGCAGATGGGTGCAGTGATGTTATAGATGCAGATGGGTGCAGTGAGGTTATAGATGCAGGTTGTTGCAGTGAGGTTATAGATGCAGATGGCTGAAGTGAGGTTATAGATGCAGATGGGTGCAGTGAGGTTATAGATGCAGATGGGTGCAGTGAGGTTATAGATGCAGGTGGGTGCAGTGAGGTTAGAGACAATGATGGGTGCAGTGAGGTTATAGATGCAGGTTGGTGCAGTGAGGTTATAGATGCAGGTGGGTGCAGTGAGGTTATAGATGCAGATGGGTGCAGTGAGGTTATAGATGCAGATGGGTGCAGTGAGGTTATAGATGCACATGGGTGCAGTGAGGTTATAGATGAGCAGTGAAGTTATAGATGCAGCAGTAAGGTTATAGATGCAGATGAGCGCAGTGAGGGTATAGATGCAGGTTGGTGCAGTGAGGTTATAGATGCAGCAGTGAGGTTATAGATGCAGATGGGTGCAGTGAGGTTATACATGCAGATGGGTGCAGTGAGGTTATAGATGCAGATGGGTGCAGTGAGGTTATAGATGCAGATTGGTGCAGTGAGGTTAAAGATGCAGATGGGTGCAGTGAGGTTATAGATGCAGATGGGTGCAGTGAGGTTATAGATGCAGATTGGTGCAGTGAGGTTAAAGATGCAGATCGGTGCAGTGAGGTTACAGATTCAGATGGGTGCAGCGAGGTTATAGATGCAGATGAGTGCAGTGATGTTATAGATGAGCAGTGAAGTTATAGATGCAGCAGTAAGGTTATAGATGCAGATAAGCGCAGTGAGGGTATAGATGCAGGTAGGTGCAGTGAGGTTATAGATGCAGATGGGAGGTTATAGATGCAGATGGGTGCAGTGAGGTTATAGATGCAGCAGTGAGATTATAGATGCTGCTGTGATGTTATAGATGCAGATGGGTGCAGTGAGGTTATAGATGCAGCAGTGAGGTTATAGATGCAGATGGGTGCAGTGAGATTATAGATGCAGGTGGGTGCAGTGAGGTTATCGATGCAGCAGTGAGGTTACAGATGCAGCAGTGAGGTTATAGATGCAGATGGGCGCAGTGAGATTATAGATGCACCTGTTATAGATGCAGGTGGGGGGAGTGAGGTTATAGATGCAGCAGTGAGGTTATAGATGCAGCTGTGGGGTTATAGATGCAGGTTGGTGCAGTGAGGTTATAGATGCAGCAGTGAGGTTATAGATGCAGCAGTGAGGTTATAGATGCAGGTGGGTGCAGTGAGGTTATAGATGCAGATGGGTGCAGTGAGGTTACAGATGCAGGAGGTTGCAGTGAAGTTATAGATGCAGCAGAGAGGTTATAGATTTAGCAGTGAGGTTATATTTGCAGATGGGTGCAGTGAGGTTATAGATGCAGCAGTGAGATTATAGATGTAGGTGGGTGCAGTGAGGTTATAGATGCAGGTGGGTGCAGTGAGATTATAGATGCAGGTGGGTCCAGTGAGGTTATAGATGCAGCAGTGAGGTTACAGATGCAGATGGGTGCAGTGAAGTTATAGATGCAGCAGTGAGGTTATATTTGCAGATGGGTGCAGTGAGGTTATAGATGCAGCAGTGAGATTATAGATGCAGATGGGTGCAGTGAGGTTATAGATGCAGGTGGGTGCAGTGAGATTATAGATGCAGGTGGGTGCAGTGAGGTTATAGATGCAGGTGGGTGTAGTGAGGTTACAGATGCAGGTGGGTGCAGTGAGGTTATAGATGCAGCAGTGAGATTATAGATGCAGGTGGGTGCAGTGAGGTTATAGATGCAGGTGGGTGTAGTGAGGTTACAGATGCAGGTGGGTGCAGTGAGGTTATAGATGCAGCAGTAAGATTATAGATGCAGGTGGGTGCAGTGAGGTTATAGATGGAGGTGGGTGTAGTGAGGTTACAGATGCAGGTGGGTGCAGTGAGGTTATAGATGCAGCAGTGAGATTATAGATGCAGGTAGGTGCAGTGAGGTTATAGATGCAGGTAGGTGCAGTGAGGTTATAGATGCAGATGGGTGCAGTGAGGTTATAGATGCAGTCGGGTGCAGTGAGGTTATAGATACAGGTGGGTTGCACATGTTCTTGTTGTAAATCTGGAAATATTGAGGAAAGTCCAGTTCCATGTGTTAACCTTAAATTTAGGTTTTTCATGTTCTTCATGTGAAATTTGCAGGTGCCTGTAAATGTGAGCCAACCTATGGGGGTCATGACTGCTCCGTCTCCCTCAGAGATGCCCCTGTGTTGTCTGCTGTGCAAGGCAAGGGACTTTGTGACTTGGCACAAGGTCAATGTGGACATCAATTCTTCTTCTATGGACAAAACTTCCTCCGATCTACCAACCTGAAGTGCTACTTTAGCAGTGTGCAGGTAAACATGGATCTTCACCCTCCCTGGCAGATTGGTACTTAACTGATTAGACCTGATACATAAATCAAATATCTCTGGTAAACAATATGATTGCATGTTCTACCATAACAAAGTGCTACTCAGCCATGCTCCTATGATGTTTTGCAGCTTATGTATATTTAGTGGGCTGAAGGATATTTTGAACTAGTATGTATTGTGAATGTTTTAGTTTATTATTTTTAGTGTGTGTTTGTTGTTTAACACCGCACTCAGCATTATTCCAGCTGTCTGTAAAAAATCTAGTGAGTGACAAATGCATCAACCTAGTCTGCGAATCTGACCAGGCAATCCCAGTAATCGCTTTTCATGGCAAGCATGGGTTGCTGAAGAGCTATTCTATCCCGAATCTTCACGGGTCTGGTGTTTTGTATCAGTATCTATTGTGGATGATGTTTTGCCAGGTGACGTCTGCTGGTCTGAGTGTGTCTCGAGAAATCCGTGCCTACACAGCAACATATATCAACTATCACACCATCGTGTGCACTCTGCCTGCTCTCCGCAGCTACTCTCTCACCATCAGTAACAACGGGTTCATCTTCAGCCAGGCCTACAATATCCTCATCCTCAATAGTGAATGTGTTACAAAAAGCAGCGAAGGACAACTTGTTTTTGAGGTGAATGAGTATAATTGATTTCTAAATTATTGTAGTTTTATTCAGAAACACATACATTTAGTAGTATAAGTAATGGGGATTCTGGCTCACTTCCTCTGGAGCCAGATTTACACCCAATACTGCTACTACAGAGGGAATTTTTTATGCAAAAATGATGATGAGCACAAACAATCGTCGTGTGACTAAACTAATTGTGATGAAGTTGTATTATTTTTACTCATACACCATACCATTATTTTGAACAAAGTGATATTCAACATTTTTACTAAGTTCTTCATTCATTTCACTAGGAGACCAGACTATATACTCTTTTTCGAAATTGGAAAGAAACAATTGATGACCGTATTTGGTTGGTTTGACATCACTGATATAATATATACCTTGTGGTGATTCACGCCATTTTATAATTTTGTCCCAGAGCAAAAATGTTTTTGTTGACATTATTATAGACTTATGTAAGCATTCGTATAAATTTGAGCCAACGATAGGAAACCATCTATTTTTAATCTCCAACCAGTTCTTTGGTTTTGGCACGGAATAATTGACGTGTTTGTTGTCTGCCCTGTTCTATGAACTTTTTTTTCTCGTCTTCGCTAATACCACTGGTCTTAGGAGAATTGGATCGAATCTCCTGCTTCATTGCGTTGTATTTTGTGAGTTCTGACAAAATTAAACAAAACTCCTCCTTGGATATCTTGCAATCAGCCAGTGCTGTTGAAATATGTTCCTCAATGCTGTTCAACTTTGCTTCGGCGAGTATCCGAAAAATTATCATGTTCTAATGCTTTCTTTTGCAACTTACGAGACTTAAATTTTATCGCTATTCCTGCCTAGTCCTGAGACTCCGGCTGCTACTTCCATACCAAGTACGATAGGCGCGGCGATTATGGTTGATAATAAACCAACACCGGCTACACTGAGTCCCATGCCAGCTGTTACAAGCGCAGTGTCAACTCCATCGAGAGCATTCACAGCTCTGCGATACTTTTTATGCAATCCAAGTCTCAACTCCCTCTCCTTCTCTATTCGATGTTTTATGTCGCTTATTTGATGTAATCGAAATCCATTAACAGTATCCATCTTTTCAGATGCTTCATCGAGCGCCGGATATAAACCCATAATGTATATTATTATATCATATAATAGTCTTTAATTGGTCTTGCTTAAATGTTTTGAGAGTATACATCAAACTTATTAAATGTATATTATGTGGCATAAATATCTTAGTAAGAAAAATGCTTTTATCTTTATTAACTTGGACCCCCTCAAGGGTTGCAACAGGTGATACTCCCATATAAATAATACTGCAACGTTGACGCTCGTGTTTCTTGAGCCATTTAATTGATAGACCTGGTAATATCTCGAAGGCATCTTCTGGTGCATCCCCAAACAAGACTTCAATAATAAGCGTAGAAAGATTAGGTATAGCATTCAAGTTATGTTTTATATCATTGAATTCAGTAACCAAATTGAAACTAACATTTTTTTTATGCCGGACAACTCAGTAACATATGACCTGGGTTTTCTGGCAGGGGACCGACTGATACACTTTTTCGTTTTGAGGGGATATAAGCCCCGAGTACGATCCCACTCTCCTTTATCTTAGTTAATTGATTTCCCTTACCCGTCATCACATATGGTGGAGCAATGACGATATTCAGTAGCCAATCGATTTTTTCTTCGACCATAGTCCATTTATTATCATCATTGTGAGTAAGATTGTATGAAGTGTTTTATTGAGTCTACCAACGTCAACATCACTTAAATCTCCTAGATTAGCTGTGAATACAACTTCTTTCCGCTTGTATACATTATCTTGTAAGTGTAAAGCGTATAACTTGCCATCAGTACTGGGTTTACCGAATCCTTCTGTGTCTCAAGATCGGAAAGTGCAATTGTATTACATTGTCTAAGGTTATGCATTCCAGGGCCTGATGAATCAACCATTATTCATAATATGGAGTGTTACACTCAGGTATCCTATATGTACTGGTTGATGTTTTACATCTAATACAGAAATTTTGAGGTCTGAAATAATACCCCGCTTCAACTTTTTATATTGTAAAGTTGAGAAAGATTCAGTTCTACCGCTATCGTATTTTTCATCTTTGACTGGAATAGCTCTTAGCAGAGTTGAAGGACTTTCGAGTTGAATATTATCCGTTGTACTAATCTGATCAAGATGGATGCACAACTCTTTATAGGGAACTAAATCGGGTAATTTAACTCCATGCAATTTTGTGTTGTGTAGTTTTTCCCATCTTCTTAATCCAAGTGTAGCTGCTAAGCCATATACAAGAACTATACCCTTTTCTCCAGTGCTTAAAACAGCATCCCATTCGATTCATTTTGTGTGAGACTAGCTCCCAAAGGCTTAAAAATTTCATCATTGAGTGAGCATACGCTGTAATACCAATCTGTTATAAAGTGATTTTCTTGACCTTCATTTAGTAATAACTTATTATTATCTCTCACAGCACTTATATTGGTAATACGTTACATCGCATAGAGCGACTTCAAGTTGTCCAGCCGAGTTATCGATAGTATGAAGCAGTTGAATAGACCATTTATTATTCCTTGGAGTGTAACATACATATTAAATATACAAAGATACTATATCATAACTTAAATATGAAAACAACTTACATTACGAATCAGTCGATTATGGTAAGAGCCTCTGGTGCTAAGTTTTTTGTAAATTTCCCTGATATCTTTGAAAAATGCAGGGTCACGGCAACTGGCGATAAAATGGTGCATGATTGGTTCCACAATCCAATGCAATTTTGGCAAAACCAGTTAAACTTTGCCATATGATGTGCCACAACAGGATGTGGTGTATCTCTTAATGCCCCAGGATTTGAACTAAATAAGTCTGTTTTATCATTTCATGTGTACTATCAGATTAGACGTATACTTAAAGAAATTAGTGCCCCATTACCGCAGGATCGAGCATGGAATTCCTCAAATAATCCATACAATAAGTTAGCGTATGAGCGTATTTGTCAGGAATTTAGTATTTCTATGAGTAAAGAAATTAAAGGACTTAACCATGGTCTAGGTGTTCTGTACAGTGGACAAAAAACTGTTAAAGTAACTCATCAACCATTCAATCCATTCAAGTTGTTACAGAAAAACAGTCTTTTTGTAAGAATGCATAATCTTTATCATGGCTGGGAACTTTCGAGTAACGATTGGAGAGGAGATCTTATGAGCTTAAGAGTGGATTGCCTTATATTGTTACAAAATTTGTGCAACTAAACGATACTGCAAACGCTTGGAATGAATTTCTGTATGATAAAACAGAAAATAAGTTTACTAATCCAGGAGTTGTAAGAGTTAATGAATCAATAAGAACTTATGTATGGTCAATTCTTGGTGCACAATCACAAACACGAACAGGAATAATTGGTTCTGGGACGGCGCTCGATGCACAAAAACAGTTTGTCGCAAATGTGGAGGATGCTATTAATTCACCAGTTGATATACCATCTTCTATAAAACATTATCAAGATGCATTACAGTACGCTCAATCCAAAGTTGACTACGTTTATGGGGCAGGAATATACATGTCTCCGAGTAATATGGAACTTAAGATCGGTCAAGTGATCGGCTATAATAATAAAATTGTTATTGCTTCCTATCAACAAAAGACAGGTTTAAATTCAGATATTAAAACCGAATTAATAACGCAAACAAACACAGGATAACAGGAAAAGTAAAAACCACAGACACGGAAACAGCCACCACATGTTTCACAACCGCAACAGTCAGAAGTGCCGCCACATATTGCAGCTAAAAATCAACAACATATCAATGAAAAAACAGTGCTTATAGTAGGTGGAGTCGCGGCTCATGGTTTACTCATGATTTGGATAAATAGTCTTTAACGGATAAGTACAACAGCCCGGCAATTGCTACGATCAGTGCCCACAAGTTTTGACTAAACCAAGTGGCGGTCTTAGCTAATAAATTCAAGAGCCAGGAAACAATACTCCCTGTTATACGGGGAAGTGCAGATGCGGCTTTTCCAGCAAGCTTTCCCAGTGCTTCTCCTAATGCTTTTAAATGCTTTTTTATCCATTCTTTTACACCGTCCGGCCTTGGTGGTGTGGGTGGTGTGGGTGGTGTGGGTGGTCCATCTCCACCGGTTAACGCAAGAGTCAAAGTCGATATAATAAATCCCAATGCAGTTAAAATACTGGCAATGGTTATCCCCTGTTCTCTGAACAATGTTTTAATTTTATCGGCCATTGTGGTATCATCGTTGAGGACTTGATCGATAGTTTCTCGAATTTGACTGATTTGTGAAGTGCCTTTCTATTACTCGAAGCGTCTTCGAGGCAGGCCGATCTTTTGTCTAAGTTACGCAATCTTTCCGCAATGCTGTGTCTACTGAATTCATTGCCCGCCTGTTCAAGTTTTGTTTTCTCATAAGCTATATGCTTTTTGAGTTCAGATATCTTGGCTATATTATTGACGAGTTCTACCTGCATTGTTTTTTGCAATGCCTGGACAAGGCCTTGTAATTCCTTTAATATTGTATGGTACCTGTAACATGGAATTATCGTAGTAGGTATCCAAGATTTGTACGAGTCCGTCTGAGGCCAGCTTAGTGTGTTCTTCCAAATTATCTTTATCTATGGCATCGAGTTCATCACGCACAGTCTTAAAAACCTTAGTAGTCTTCGCAGAAAGTTTTTCTCGTGAGTAGTCTGCAAAACCTAATTTATTACGAATAATGTTGATACCATGTTTACTGGCTATGGTAGACAAGGCTAGGGGTTTACGAGTACGAGAATTCATAAGATCAATATCCGGAGAGTCTCTCAGTCGCAATATTCCTTTACTATCTTTTGTAAACTTTGAATAGTCACTATCAATAGGTGTATCATATTTTTTGTCTTCATCAGTACCCTCTTCGATTGTACTAGTATGAGTTATGTTATCTAGATTAAAATCATCCATTTTTATATTAAACATAAGGTTAAATAATTTCAATA